AAGTCATGAGGGTGAGTAAACAATGACAGTATTCTAATTTTTGGGGAATTATTTTTTTAACCTTGCATGAGCAGTGGAAGTAGCCGAGCCAGCTGTGTTTCCCCCTCACACCGTGTGTGTGAGTGCTATAAGGCAGGACGCAGTGCGGAAGAATCGCTCTGACTGCCGGAGTGGGGTCACCTCAGCGAGCAGCAGGCAGTTGGCACCGACTCAAGAGCTCCTTCCTTTTGTCTCATGGAGGCCCAGTGCGCGCGCACACACACACACACACACATACACATTTACTTCACTTAAACATAGGCGACAACCGTCCCACTAACGGCCTCTCCTGCCTGCTTTTTCCTTCATCCTGTTGTACAGGATATTTGTAATATACTGTAGTAGCGTTGCTAATTTGCTGTTATTGTAGTTTGAGTTAGAACAGCAATTATATTGCAGGAAAAAAAATTATGTTTTTCCTTCTGGGGAACACTAAATGGACTACAATGATTTGTAGACATGCAGAATCAACGGTTAAGTGGCTGTTTTATTACTAGTGCTAGTTAGGGATAGTGATTTGAACAAACCCTGAACTCTGAGGATTAAACTTTGCTAGTAATGCATCCTGCCTCAAATTGTGCAGTTTGTTTAGGAAATATTATTTTTTAGAAGTGATCAGATTTGGGGATTTGTTTCTGTTGAGCAATAAAACTTAACAAGTTTTCAGTGTTTTCCAGTAAAAATATCTAAACACCCTTCAAACAAGGTACTTTGACTTGAAAGCAAAATATTTATGCTATGTTTTTTATTATTTATATTTATGTAAAAACTATTATGCCTGTTGCATAATAAAACATCCCAAAAATTGGTTGCACAGCAAAATATTTTACTTGAAAGCAAAATATTTATTTATTATTAACAATTAAATTTGTGGTCAAAATTTTATGCAAAAAAAAAAAACGATTTTGCCTGTTACGTAATAAAACATCCCAAATATTGGTTACACTGCAAAAAAAAATTTACTTAAAAGCAAAATATTTATTTATTATTAATATTCAAATTTGTGTTAAAATAAAATAGATATTATTGATGTTTATGCAAAACAAATAGCCTGTTATGTAATAAAAACATACCAAAAATGAGTTACACTGCAAATAAATGCAATGTTTTCTCTTGTTTTGAAGTTAACACATATATTTATAATGTAATATAAATTTATTTTGTAATTTATTTATTCAACATAATTTAGTGAGGTTTATATTGTCTGTTGAGCAATAAAACACCCAAAAAAGTTACACTACAAAAAAAAATACATTAAAAAAAATACCTAAACATCCTTCAGACAAGAGAAATTTACTTGAAGCTAAATATTTATTCATTTATTTGATTGATTAATTGAACACAATTTTGTGAGGATTTGCCAATAGGGTATGAAAATGTATTATTTATATTTATGTATATGTATATGTGTCTTGTTTGAAGGATGTTTATACATTTTTAATAGAAAACAGACTTAATATAAAAAATACTGATTATAAAAAAGGTTGCAATGTTACCTTAAATTGAAGAATTTACTACAGTGGTGGGCTGTTTTCGGTCAGGAAGTAACCACCTAGTGACCATCAAGAACAGCCTAGCAACTGCATAGAAATGTGTAAAAAAACACCCGGAGCACCTTAGCAACGGCGAAAGAAACGTCATCAACACCCTTGCATTGGCAGGGACTTTTATACTGGCAAGCAGTGCTCACATATTCTTCAGAATGTGTTAAAAATCTGGTTTATTTTGTCATGCAGTGTGTAATTGAGTTTTTAAGCAGTGAAGTTCACAGGAAGCTCAAAAGTGCTACAGCTCTTTTGAAACATAATGAAAGGCTACAGTGAGGTGCACTGAATGTCTAAAAGAGACTGCTGGGCTGTCAGCCTGTGAAATGCATTCTGCCCACGTACTCAGGCTATTCTACTTCCTGTCTCATTTAAGAAAGAGCACTGGTTCCTCCACATTTGTGTGTTGGGCTGCTGTACTAGATTTGCATTTAAGAAACTGTCTGCCAAAGTGTACCTTTTCAGACATCATGTAGTGCTGATGTGTTTACAGTTCAAATAGGAATTTTGAGGAGGACATTTTGGCTTGGCCATTTTTGAATATTATTTCTGAATTTTGAAGTAGCAGACTGTACCATATCTGCAATATTTATTCTGTGCATAAGATTTCTTTTTTTTTCTGTATGCGTGAAATATCCAGGTAGTTAATATACCTCATTTTGTTAAAATATACTGCATCTCCACCGTGCAATATATTGTTTGGTGTTGTTCACTCAGAGGAAAGTGTGCAGTGGTTAAACTATAATGGAAACATTTGTAAATGGACTTCCTGTGTTCTCTCTTCCCCCCTCTCCCCAGGCTAATATTGGACAAATGGATACGGCCAAGGATATGTGGAAAATGATCATGGGAAACCTCGCACTAATTCAGGTTGGTAACCTTCTAAAAATATCAATCCTGTTTGTCTAATGTACATGCCAACTCTTCAATTCACAAGGCTTTGTTCAGACAAGCAGTGAAAATCTGGTTATTTGGCAAATTTGATTGTGAAACAAGCAAATAAGAATATATAATCCGATGTTTACATACCACATATGAAGTTTAACATTTTTAAATATTAATAAATTATTAATCTTTTAATGTGTCAGATTTTTTTATTTTTTTGTGACACAACATTTCTGTAATGTCATGAGTGTTATTTTAGTACAATTTATAACTATTATAGTATTTAGTAATATTTTGAATTCACTTTTATTTTTATATTTCCATTGTCTTCTTTTTTTTAAAGATTTATTTTTGACTTTTTATTATGATAGGACAGATCAGAACTGACAGGAAGCGAAGTGGGAGAGAGATAGGGGTGGTATTAGAAAAGGTCCTCGAGTCGGGATTTGAACTCGGGACACCCGTAGCACAGTGGTGCCGTATGTTGGTGCACTGCCCACGAGACTATCGCTGCCGATTTCCCTTTCATTTTAATTTTAGTTTACATTTTAGTCATTTTTATTAGTTTTTTTTTAAATATTAAAATAATTAATATTTCAACTTAAACTTATTTCAGTTAGTTTTCAAGTCAATATTTTTTATAATTTTTGTTTTTTTTTAAGTTTATTTTTTCAAACATTTACATTTTACTTCAGCTTTAATTTACAGAAAATTATTTTTAATAGTTTTAGTTAACTCTGAACATTATACGCAGTGTGTGGTATTGATTGAAGCTGTGTCCAAATGCATGTTTTTCACAATCTTTCCTTATGTAGTGAACTATATAACATTCGCTATGCAGTGCATGTTAAATTAATGAACGAGTCAGTAGTTTTAGAAGAAACAGATCAGATTTCATCCTTTACAGTCGGGATGGTCATTCCTAAATATTTGTCAGATTTGTGCGCCAATCATTGGCACCAAGTCACATGTCATATGAGGATTGACTTCTCCAGATTGCATGCTTGACTAAACAATTATGTAATGATTGGGTGATGTATTTCTTGGAAATGACCCCTAAACCCAATAATGGCATGTGTACACCAATGATGAAAGAGAACAAAGTAAACTTGACATGAAGACTTTGACATTAAGGAGGGTGGGAGGATGTTTAAAAGAGGTGTCCGAGTTCATCGTGCCCCTCCTGATTTCAGGTTCAGGCCACAGTGGTCGGCTTCCTGGCTTCCATCGCTGCAGTCATTTTTGGCTGGATTCCAGAGGGTAATTTTAAGATGGGCCATGCCGTCTTGCTCTGTGCCAGCAGTGTGGCCACCGCATTCATCGCTTCTTTGCTGCTAGGTGAGAGGGTCGTGACATCTAAATATACAACTAAATATACAAGACTAGTTTTACACGTCACTGTTTATAACACATGGTGTTCATCCTTTGCTGGGTCGCTTTAAAAAAAATTGGGGCATAAATTAAGAGTATACCCACTTCTCCAGTCACCAATACAACACTGTATATGTGTGTTTGTGTTTGTGTGTGCGTGTGCGTGTGTGCGTGTGTGTGTGTGTGTATGTACAGTGGGGCAAAAAAGTATTTAGTCAGCCACCAATTGTGCAAGTTCTCCCACTTAAAAAGATGAGAGAGGCCTGTAATTTTCATCATAGGTATAAAGATGCATTACTTTGATCAGAAGTGACAGTAAAGACATTTAAATTACAAAATTTCCATTTCAAATAACTTTCTAGCCATCAAAGAATCCTGAAAAAATCTATCGGTTTCAACAAAAATATCAAGCAGCACAACTGTTTTCAATACTGATAATAATTCTTGAGCAGCAAATCAGCATATTGGAATGATTTCTGTAGGATCATGTGACACTAAAGACTGGAGTAATGATGCTGTAAATTCAGCTTTGCATCATAGGAATAAATTACATTTTAAAATATATTCAAATATAAAACAGTTCACTTGACCGTTTCTTCTGTTGAGGGTTATCGTGGGTTTTGTGTACTTTTGATTCTCATGAGTAATACATTCAGTCAGATTTCCCTAAGTCATCATGCTGAGTCATGTTAGAGCATAGTGGAGCATGTTGGGGCATGTTGGAGCTTGTGAACACCACTTGCTTTGTGAGTTTCTTTGGTGCACCTATTAGACTCTGCAGTCTCTCCCTTTAGACTGCATAAAGAGACAACGCCAAGTGGGAGCAAATATTTTTGTTTAGATTGTGCTTTGCAATGAAACAACACAGGAGCACATTTATTGTTAGTAGAGCATTCTTGTGGCAGCACCTTGCTGTTTTGATGTGCGGTGAACAATTGTAAAATGAGAGTGTGCGGATGGAAACATTTATGGTAAAGATTAATTGCATGTTTATGACTTATCAAACCTCACAGATCAAACTGTCTGGATATAAACAAGCAACGGCCAAAGTAAAAATAGTAGGTTAACCAAGCTTTCATCTTACCAAACTTCTCCAGAAACCGGGTGTAAAATTGCACCCAAAATAATGTTGTGTGTGATTATTTCTCATCAGGCTTTGGTTTTAAAACTGTATGAACTGGTGATGAATTCCACAGGTCTTCCCTTAAATGTGTTGTTCATGACAATTCAGTCTCGAGAATGTAGATATATATATATATATATATATATATATATATATATATATATATATATATAATATATATATACACAATTAATTCACAAGCACGTATTGAACCGTGGATGTCATAACGAACAGTTCAATATTATATTGAGAATTGTGGCTTCTCCAGTTTCTACAATGTGTACTCGCGATATGTATTGTGTTGTTGTGTTACTTTTAAAAAGTTATCTGTTGAATTAAGCATGTAGAGTTTAAAGTGTTATGACAACCTAAAAAGAAAAGTACTAGCTGAGGCGAGTAGCAGCTAATGCTTGTTTTTGAATCTGGAACGACAAAGCAGCTCCAAGGTCTCATTTCAACACGAGAGTGGAAATATATCCTCCAAACAGGAGGTATCAAAAACGAAGAATGTCTAGTCTTCATTGTTTGGGATTGACAGTCTCCTGTGTTAATTCCACCATATCAACGCTAACTAGACAAATCGTTCCTCTCCTCTTCCGCCCAGGTCTTATCATGATCGGGGTTATCATTGCATCCAGGAAAGTTGGCATCAACCCAGACAATGTGGCCACCCCCATTGCAGCCAGCCTCGGTGACCTGATCACCCTGGCGCTGTTGGCTGGCATCAGTACTGGCCTGTATAAGGAGCTTGGTGAGTGAACACCTCAGTTATTTGGCTGAGCTCTTTGGGAACATTGCCGTAATCAGATATCTACTGTCAGTGCATTTTGTGATCCAAGTGCAAGCAGATATATGAGCAGGCACACTAAAGTTTGTAGATTTGCATACATTTTAGCGGATAACTTATGAACTGAATGGCCTAGAAACTTAATTATTTTTCCTCTGTTTCTGAGTCGAGTTCAGTGGAGGAATAGGAAACTATCTTGGCAGCTCCTGAAATGAAACATTTGCACGTCTTAACTGAAGATATCAAAAGTCAGTTTCTTCTTTAATTAGCCACATTTTGGCACTGTCTGTATCATAAAACTTCTGTAGAGTAACTGCCACAGTCCAGGAGAAATTGACATCTCAACCTTTGCTTGGTGATTTAAAAAGAAGATTAATTTAAGAAGAAAGTGCAAGTGTAATAGAATAAGTCCAAGAATAAGCATAAGTATGTATACGTATGTTTATATGCACACATTATATGTACATTATATTTATATTTACACTACCATTGAAAGGTTTGGGGTCTGATTTTGTTTTTTTACTAAATTAATACTTTAATTCATTAAAGATGCATTACTTTGATCAGAAGTGACAGTAAAGACATTTAAATTACAAAATTTCCATTTCAAATAACTTTCTAGCCATCAAAGAATCCTGAAAAAATCTATCGGTTTCAACAAAAATATCAAGCAGCACAACTGTTTTCAATACTGATAATAATTCTTGAGCAGCAAATCAGCATATTGGAATGATTTCTGAAGGATCATGTGACACTAAAGACTGGAGTAATGATGCTGTAAATTCAGCTTTGCATCACAGGAATAAATTACATTTTAAAATATATTCAAATATAAAACAGTTCACTTGACCGTTTCTTCTGTTGAGGGTTATCGTGGGTTTTGTGTACTTTTGATTCTCATGAGTAATACATTCAGTCAGATTTCCCTAAGTCATCATGCTGAGTCATGTTAGAGCATAGTGGAGCATGTTGGGGCATGTTGGAGCTTGTGAACACCACTTGCTTTGTGAGTTTCTTTGGTGCACCTATTAGACTCTGCAGTCTCTCCCTTTAGACTGCATAAAGAGACAACGCCAAGTGGGAGCAAATATTTTTGTTTAGATTGTGCTTTGCAATGAAACAACACAGGAGCACATTTATTGTTAGTAGAGCATTCTTGTGGCAGCACCTTGCTGTTTTGATGTGCGGTGAACAATTGTAAAATGAGAGTGTGCGGATGGAAACATTTATGGTAAAGATTAATTGCATGTTTATGACTTATCAAACCTCACAGATCAAACTGTCTGGATATAAACAAGCAACGGCCAAAGTAAAAATAGTAGGTTAACCAAGCTTTCATCTTACCAAACTTCTCCAGAAACCGGGTGTAAAATTGCACCCAAAATAATGTTGTGTGTGATTATTTCTCATCAGGCTTTGGTTTTAAAACTGTATGAACTGGTGATGAATTCCACAGGTCTTCCCTTAAATGTGTTGTTCATGACAATTCAGTCTCGAGAATGTAGTTACTGGAGTACGTTTTACAAGAAAATACTATTTCAGTCTTTCTACTTCAAAATGTCACGCTTCATTGTGCTACTTGCTATTTCTTTGTAATTATTCGTGAAATTTGGAAGTCTCTGAGAGAAAATTGTTCAATCCTACACCAATTTTGTAATATCTAAAAGTTTGTTTTAACGCAAATCTTAGCGAAGAGTCAGTTGGTGAATTCAGTTAGTTTAAATGAAAAAAGCACCTGCCCTGTTGACAGGAAATGTGAAATGCTCTGCCTCAAAAGCCTTTTTACAATACGGCCTAAGTATTTCTGTAGAATTATGCAAAAAAAATGCTTATAAAAAGGGCTATTTAGATGTCTACACCTCCGTACCACTGCATGCTAGCTAAAAAAAAGTGCTGTTGAACCAGCTCTCCGAATATGATACAATACAAGCCATGCTTGATTAAATTCCTCGAAAGAGTTTCTTTCATACTGAAGAGGAGAGAGGTTTCGTTTTGAATGTTTTTATGAGATTAATGCCACTCAGAAACACTTGAAAGGCTAACAGGATTGCTAGCAGCTAATTTGTACCTCAGTTCTCGGTCATAAAAATCAGTAGTTGACAGTAAACTAATGTATATTTTAATGACTAGCATGGCCTTATAAAGCAACTGACCTCCAGTTATGAACGTGTGTTAATGTTAGCCTGCCATTGCTAAAGGGCTGCGTAGAAATATCGCTTAATTTGCGCACATTTCATATAATTCACGATATATTAAACACACCCACTTTGTTTTTACTGTACACTTTATTTTCTGTCCTTAAATGTCTGTTTTCTTTAATTGTGGAAGTATGTTAAGGCGAGTTCTAGTGTTATTGCGGTAAGCACGTTCAAAGGGATAGTTCATCCAAAAATGAAAATTTGATGTTTATCTGCTTGCCCCCAAGGCATCCAAGATGTAGGTGACTTTGTTTCTTCAGTAGAACACAAATTATGATTTTTAAGTCCAGCTGTTGCAGTCTATCAGTCGTATAATGCATGGCAATGGTAACAAAATCTATGAGAGTAAAAAAAACATGCACAGACAAATCCAAATTAAACCCTGCGGCTCGTGACGACACATTGATGTCCTAAGACACGAAACGATCGGTTTGTGCCAGAAACCGAACAGTATTTATATCATTTTTTACCTCTGATTCACCGCAATGTCCAACTTCCTTGAGCGCGCGCACGGCATCCGATGCGGGAAGTGTGTACGCGCTCTGGCGTAGTTTACGTTAATAGGTGTGTTGATATCCAGCCGAAGAGCAATCAACCATAACTTCAGGCAAGCAGGCTCAGAAGTTGGGAATACGTGGAAAGTCACCACTCCTGAATGAGTTCGCGCGAGAGAACGTAATCTTTTAGTTTTAAGTCGGTTTGAACAATCCGGATAAGCGCAAGTAAGTACCATTTTGATTAGCCATCGTACCTACAATGACTGTGCACTGTGTAAACAATGAGTGACGTATACGCGTGAGAGATCACTTCCGGCGCTTGCGTAAACTATGCCAGAGTGCCTACACACCTCACGCACCGGATGCCTGCGCGCCCAAAGACAGTTGGACATAGTGGTGTATTAGAGGTAAAAAATTATATAAATACTGTTCGGTTTCTGGCACAAACCGATCGTTTCGTGTCTTAGGACATCAATGTGTCGTCACGAGCCGCAGGGTTTAATTTGGATTTGTCTGTGCATGTTTTTTTTACTCTCATATATTTTGTTACCATTGCCATGCATTATACGACTGATAGACTGCAACGGTTGGACTTAAAAATCATCATATGTGTTCTACTGAAGAAACAAAGTCACCTACATCTTGGATGCCCTGGGGGTACGCAGATAAACATCACATTTTCATTTTTGGATGAACTATCCCTTTAAGCACGTCACATTAGATCACTGTGCACAAGATGTACTGTAATATCACAGTTTGCCACAAGAGGTCGTGCTTGTGCAAGGAGAGCATGCAGCTCCAATGTGCAGACATGTTTATACCACAATTATGCATTCAAACATCACAAATATTACTGTGTAACTGATCCGGTGCTGCCATTGTACCATGACAGCTCTCTATAGTTGTGAATATTTCTTCAGGGGATGGGAGGCTTTGTTTATTTATTTCTATAGATGTGACAAAGCTATTTGTAAATAATATATTTATTCTTTAAATGTTTTATTTTTCATTTTGTTGCATTTTTCTTTGCATTGGACCAGTAGAGATGTTTACTGTACGTTTATCAGACATTTTTTCTTCTTCTTAACAAATATATCCAAGTTTGGTGCCTAATATCCAGCAAAACCTCACACTCGATCTGGTTTGGTGAATTGAGCGTAATATGCCTTAACAAATCACAAGCAAGGCTCGACACGTAGGTATTATATGTCTTCTGATTCGTCTTTTTTCCATGAGATTTTTTTTAATTAATGGAGTTGGTTTTCATATTGTATTCTGTTGATTTGTGTACACAAATCATCCCATCTGTTGTGTTCTTCCAGGGCAGATGTATCGGTGGTAAAGTTATCCAAAGCAAAGCCACTGAGATCCCCATGAGTTTTAGAGCAAATTAATATTTACTTGTGGGTTGTCTAATTTGTCACATATTCCCTGTGATCTGGGAATTCTAGAGATTCTAATCTGTAATCTGTTTATAACTTCCTACAAGAAAACGTAACCTTCCTTGAGTTAAATTGGCCTTGAGGGTCAGATCCCAGCCTCTCAAGCAAGACTAAAGCAAACTTACCAGATTATCCAAGAGTGTACAGCTAGTAATGGTAACTGGTTATCTGAGTTCTGTGATTTCTTCCCCATCAGTTTCTGCCCCAGCCGCTTCAATCTGACACTGTAAAGGGGACCTAACAGAGGTTCTTGTAAATTGCTGGAAATAAAAGATTATATTATTTCGTACGACTGCCCTGTGCTTTTCTGTTTTCATTCCATTTGACACACACGCTTGGTAGTAAATAAGGAAAAATCACATTGACATTGATGGAATTGATTGAAATAAAAATGTAAATTGTATCAATACTGTGGCTTTTATAGCTAAAAATTTCTGCTTACTACAGCATTTATTGAAACTGAGCTGCAAAAAACACTGCAAATTAATAATTATATGACCACTCACATGTGTCTGTTGAATAATTAAAAAATGAAACAAGGAAAACTAAATTCTAACAGTTTTTTGGGTTTATATATATATATATATATATATAATTAGTGCTGTCAAACGATTAATCGTGATTAATCGCATCCAAATAAAAGTTTTTGTTTACATAATATATGTCTGTACTGTGTATATTTATTATGTGTATGTATATATACAAACACATGCATGTATATATTTAAGAAAATTTTTATATTTGTATATTAAATATATTTATAAATAATATAAATTATATAAATCTATACATGTAAATATTTTCTAAATATATACTGCATGTGTGTGTATTTATATATACATAACAAATATACATAGTACACATATTATCTAAACAAAAAC